CAAACTACGGCCTGCGGGCCGGATCCAGCCCATCGGGGCTTTGGATCCGGCCCACGGGATTGCCACTCCCGTGGTGCTGCGGGGCTAAGGCAGGCTCCCTGCCTGCCCTCGCCCCACGCTGCTCCCAGAAGCAGCCGGCACCATGTCCCTGCGGCCCCTGGGGTGGGGATGGGGAGGCAGAGGGCATGCAATTTCCCCACCCAGATGTGGCCCTCGGGCCAAAAAGTTTGCCCACCCCTGCTCCAAACCATGCAGAAGGGGAATGGGAAATATAGGCCAATCTTCAGAAATCTCCCCCAAAGACTTGTTCAGAAGGAACAAAGTGTACAGTATTACCTATAAAATGCACCTACAGTATAATAAAATTAAAAATAATTATTTTTTTGTTTTACCTTTGAATAATAATAATAAAAAAGCCTGTGACAGTGCAGAGCCCCCCCCCACACACACACACACCTGGAAAACAAGGAGTTAATTCTACATAATAAGAACATAAGAACGGCCGTACCGGGTCAGACCAAAGGTCCATCTAGCCCAGTATCCTGTCTACCGACAGTGGCCAATGCCAGGTGTCCCAGAGGGAGTGGACCAACAGGCAATGATCAAGTGATCTCTCTCCTGCCATCCATCTCCATCCTCTGACAAACAGAGGCTAGGAACACCATTCCTTACCCATCCTGGCCAATAGCCATTAATGGACTTAACCACCATGAATTTATCCAGTTCTCTTTTAAACGCTGTTATAGTCCTAGACTTCACAACCTCCTCAGGTAAGGAGTTCCACAAGTTGACTGTGCGCTGCGTGAAGAAGAACTTCCTTGTATTTGTTTTAAACCTGCTGCCTATTCTAGCTCAGGTCATCTCTCCACATGCACAGGTGCTTAAGGGAAGATCATGAGGCAGGGTTATGGAATGCAGGCTAATCAGTTTCCTCAGTTGGATGACAGGAAACACCATAAAGATAGCTGCTTAGGAACCAGCCTAGACTTAAGAAGGGATTTATATCAAGTTATTATAGGGCTGAGGTTATAGGCTAGATTGGAGTTTTTCTGGTTTTGATTTTTGGCTTGTGAAGTCCAGTTTGTTTTGTTATAACTACTGCATTTGGAATACAAAGCCTTATCATATATGGACATATACCTATCTCATAGAGCTGGAAGGGACCCCAAAAGGTCATCAAGTCCAGCCCCCTGCCTTCACTAGCAGGACCAAGTACTGATTTTGCTCCAGATCCCTAAGTGGCCCCCTCAAGGATTGAACTCACAATCCTAGGTTTACTAGGCCAATGCTCAAACCACTGAGCTAGCCCTTAAGGAGGAATGTAAGCTACCTGAAGAATTTTCTTATTTTAACTATTCAACCTATTTTCCTTGATGGCATGTTGGGTGTTGTGTGATTTTGCACTTCCATAGCGCATATGAAGAATGTAACAAGATGAAGAAAGCAAATGTGGCAAAATAGTTGATTGCTGCAGATTAATCATAGAATATCAGGGTTGGAAGGGACCTCAGGAGGTATCTAGTCCAACCCCCTGCTCAAAGCAGGATCAATCCCCAACTAAATCATCCCAGCCAGGGCTTTGTCAAGCCTGACCTTAAAAACCTCTAAGGAAGGAGATGGAGCACTTGCTGCTCTTCAATTTATGCAGAAGTAACAGCAAGTGCTAGTAGAATCGTTTCAGGTAGGTCCTGGGGTTTATGGTGCAGTGGATGGGACCCCTCTGGCTTAAAAGAGTGTCATATCTCACACCATGCTTATTGGTGGGAGGAGCTGTTCTCTGCCTCAGTTTAGATTCTGCTGACCCTATATCTTAAAATGTTTGAATATCTGGGAGGAGAACACTGGCAAGGCCAAGATGGACCACTCTTTTCCTATGATCACAGGGGAATTAACAGGTCACTTCACCTTGAATGGTCCCTTAGAATATGTGCTAACTACTTATGCTAAACTATCTATTCTATATTGTATTTAGCTGTGACACTTTCCGGTACCTTTCTCAGACCTGAAGAAGAGTGCTGTATGGCTCAAAAGTTTGTCTTGCTCACCAACAGACATTGGTCCAACAAAAAGTATTACCTACCCCACCTTGTCTCTCTGAGACCAACTGTAATACTGACAGACCCTGGAGCTACTTGGAAATGGAAGTTGAAAGGTGACTAATATCAACACAAAGCAACCATTCTAGATTTAAAAAAGAACAGGAGTACTTGTGGCACCTTAGAGACTAACAAATTTATTAGAGCATAAGCTTTCGTGGACTACAGCCCACTTCTTCGGATGAAACCTGTCATTCTAGATTTAGGCCTCACTGAGCAAGTCTATTGTAACTGGTTGGAAAATAGGGAGATTACAGGATTTTTGACTCAGGAGTGGTACAGCAACTTGGGGAGATCTGCAGTTGGTGGATGAAATTGGAATCCTATTTCAGATGGGAAGTGGTGGAATTTGTTCTGTTAGAGCAGTGGTTCTCAAACTTTTGTACTGGTGACCCCTTTCACATAGCAAGCCTCTGCGTGTTAACCCCCCCTTATCAATTAAACACTTTTTTACATATTTAACACCATTATAAATGCTGGGGGCAAAGCAGGGTTTGGGGTGGAGGCTGACAGCTCGTGACCCCCCCTATGTAATAACCTCATGAGCCCCTGAGGGGTCCCGACTCCCAGTTTGAGAACCCCTGTGTTAGAGCAACTTAATATTATCAGGCTAACTAAACTCCAGGAGTCGGTTTGTTGCTACAGGGGTGCCAGCAGAGGGCAAACTATGTTTGGTGGGAAAAGGAGGCCGGGCAGCATAATGGTGCTAAATTCAGGAGGTCCAGGGGCTGTGGAGGATGTGAAAACTGTGTGTGCACAACCCAGCACAACTTGCACCCCGGTAGGGGTTGAAGGCGGTGCTATGTGCTTCCTAGGGTCCCAGTAGCCATGCCATGGAGGGGGCTGTCCTTAAACCACAGAATGCATTAGAGGGCAGGTGGGTCCTTTATATGTGTTAGTATCAGTATTCCTAAGGTTGAATGTATTCCTGGGGGTTTCAGCATATGACATCACCTTTAATGAAAGATTACTCTTTAATTCCTGGAGACTCCACGATGATCCTGGAGGGCGGGCAACCCTAAGTGTTATGAGAGGGTGGATGGGCCTTGGGGAAAAAAGCATCAATGTTTGGACAGACCTGAGGGGGAAACAGGGCTCGGTGGTACCTGGGTGCTATGGGAGGGAGCGCTTCCTGGGGCAAAGGGGAAATGGTGTGGGTGCTCGGTGGTACCCGGGTGCTATGGGAGGCAGCGCTTTGTGGGGCAAAGGGGAAATGGGGCGGGTGCTCAGTGGTACCCGGGTGCTATGGGAGG